GATCATAGAATGTGTACGATTTCTTGCATCGGACGCAGCCGCATCGGAGAGCAACTCACCCAAGAAATTCCCCTGTTCACCGTCTGGGCTAGATGGACTAATACCATACATGTGATAAGTATTTAAACACCATTGTTGATTATTTGATGTTCACTCTCTAGCGACTTAAGAATGGTTCTATATAACAAAAAAAACTTGTTACAAAACAAAAATTATATATAAAAAAAATGGACGACAACGAAAAGTAATCAAAAAACAAACAAAAAAAATACATAAAACAAAAAAATAAAAAAATGATTGAGTTAATGGGACAAACCCAATAATATACATACTAGTTTAAGGGGCGACGTAAATTGCCAGACCTCCTCAATGATAAATACCCACTCATGCACCTGTTTTCAGGCCTACATCGATACGGTTATATGACCGATGTCCATGTTTGGATAGCACCGTACAGACAGGCGAGCTTAACTTGCTAGAGAATTTAGGAGCAATAAAGGGTCACAACCGCCCAAACCATTAGTTGTTTAAGGGACATTAGTCTTTGGCCAAGACATTAACATGCTGTTACCATATTGACAGAGTTGGATAGGATCGCACCCCCAGACAACTTGATGGGCAGGATGGTTATCCCTGCCCCCACTGGCCGAAATCTTTGCTTTCCCAGCAAAGTTGGACTGCATATACTTATGTAATTGTTTTATTTTCTGTTATGCATAATCCCTGTCTCTATCTCCCCCCTTTCTGAGCTATACACCCCTCCCAGGGGTCACACTAAACATAAAGGTACAGGCCTAAGGGCGATGAAGATGATTGGGCAGAAGGAACGATATAGGCCACACAGAATCCCCGACACAGATTCTGGACTGGCAGACACACAAGTAAGGTGAAGTAGCACACACACACAAGAGAATGCAGAGCTAGCACTCCTGGTTGGGTATATGTCAAATTGGAGCCCACACGTGAGAATCTGATCCTCATCCAGAATGGCTTACCTGTGTAAGATATGGCCTCTTAATGTGAAGGGACTAAATAAATCACAAAAACAGGGCATAGCAGTACAATAAATGCACAAGTCTCAAGTGCCGATTGTATGTCTCCAAGAGACTCACTTTTGTATTCACAACCCCTCAGTAGTATATACCAAAAAATATCCTCAGGCATACCAGTCCTACTCACCAAATTTCTTCCATAAAGACTGGGATTTCCAACTAACGACAAAGTATGACGATGGCATGGGGAGACTACTGATTTTAATAGGAACTGTAACAGAACTATACTTTCTGCCTGGACATATTTTACAATTACTACGCCTAATATTACAAGGGATTATACTTACCTGGTTATGTGAATTATTATAGCCCAGTTCGGAACTTATGTTGCCAGCATTCGTCTATTTGTGCAATCCATGCAGTAGAAATCCAGCAGGCACAAAGACGAATACAAACTGCCAAACACCGGACCACCCTGCTGTTCAATTAAGTGGTATTTTACCTCCCAGACCGGCATATACCGTTGGCATGATAAATGCACGAATCCTTTGTGTTAGATCTTAGGTGGCCACCATTTCAGGACTTTACACGTGTTCGTGACCATCTTAATGCATGAACAGCTGTGATTTGCCGTCGAGTGTCTGGAACTTAAATCGGACACTCAAGTAGGCGAACACCGCTGAGAACTCCATAACACCGGAAATTCATGCCAAAACTACCGAACACCCGTCCGTTCGGTAGAAAGACTTAACATATTTTTACAATAACAATGGTGTACTCGCCCTCGTCTTCTTTCCAATAGTAGCTCATGTTATAAACGTTAAAGAAAAGTTGAGTTTATGAAATTTATAATGATGTAAATGTGCTGAAGTATGTGGGACTCTATGGAAATTAACACAACTGACTCATGTATGAGCTATTAAGCTTGCTCTGGCTGTATGATCCAGGAAGCCACAAAGGGAACCCTGGGAAACAAACTCCCCCCTCTCTCCTCCCTCCTTTCTTCTCCTACCAGTGGCCTACATACCGGGGTCGCAGGGGTCGTGGCTGCGACTGGGTATGTACCTAGTGTGGCCAGACTCTTCTCATTGGGGTCCCAGGAGCCAGCCATTTCAGGGCCCTCCCAAAGCTGGCCCTGGTGTCCCCGGGGGGCCGGCGGGCACACAGGGGAGCGCAAGGGAGCACTCTCCCTGCCTGAGCGCTCTCTGCCCAGCTCCCTCACGCACCGCACTGATGCCGGAGCCGGAATATGACATCATATTCCGGCTGCGGCATCAGTATGCGGCGCGTGAGGGAGCTGAACAGGGAGCACTCAGGCAGGGAGAGTGCTCCCTCGCGCGCCCCCGTGCCAGCCCATCCACTGGACCCCAGGGAATCCCCTCAGCTCTCCCAAAAGTAGGAAGGCTGGGGGATTACATTTAAAAAAAAACGCGTCTGTGTGTGTTAGAGTGTGTGTCTTAGAGTGTGTGTGTTATTTTTTGTGTCAGTGTGTGTGTTAGTTTGAGTGTGTGTGTCAGTGAGTGTGTTTGTCTGTATGCGTCTGTTAGTGAGTCGGACAGAAGAGTATTACCCAGTACACTTCTGCCTATATGATCTGCGCCTATCCTAGAAGGCTCATTGCATTGTGAGTTGGACCATTGGACACTTATAGTCCACTTGTATACCTGACGATATTACACTATCAGCCCCTTTTTTCTCTCCATTTTATAGCTATATCCCTATGTTCCAACAGAAGGGTAGGTGTATTCAGTAGTACACCTTCCACGCTACACTATATTTTATAGCTATACCCCTATGTTCCAACAGAAGGGTCCTTGTAAAGTGGAGGTGTACACACACTTGTATCTCAAAGGCAACATATACAAAAATAAAAATAAAAAAAGGGAAGATATTATCCCAACAGAAAGTTGTGTAGATAAATACTGTAATGACCAATTATAGATCCCAGAATACTGCAATAGATAGGTTCAAACAAATCACATATGACAGGTGGAGCAGTGAGCAGACACCGAATGAGTAATTGAACCCTTTAGGATGTTTCTCAAGTCTCAATATATATATATATATATATATATATATATATATATATATATATATATATATATATATATATATATATATATATATATATATATATACATTTATATATATATATATATATATATATATTATTATTTTTTTTCCAATGATTTTTTATGGATTTTTATGGAATTCTCAATATAATTATTTGATTGAGTTTCTATAGACTCATTCATATATTATTCAGAATATACAATTTTGTAAATATTAATGAATAAATACGGTGACTCTCTTATTCCCTCCTTTTCACCTCTTCCTATTTTTAACATTTTACTTTTTGCATATTATTTTCCGGATTTTTTTATAATAGGAGAGCACTCTTGCATGTTGCATATTTCATTTTAGTCTATAATTTGTTATTTAGCACTTTAAATGTGATTCATAAATATGGTATTATGTAATGGACTAATTTACATTTTTTCTTCCTCTATTAAAGTAGGTACTGTTGAGAACAATATATATATATTTTTAGTAAATTACACTAACAAGCAAAAGTAAATGTTTTCATGTATTGTAATTTATATTATTTTATTTTATTTAACTGATTAATGTCCAAAGAGGTGTAATGATAAGATGTACATGTAGATAAATAATAGTTTTTAAACATTTAGTGAATATACCCCTTGTTTCAGTTTGTTTTTAAATGAGGGGGTTTGGCATCTATAATGTATGTTAATATGCTGGTCAAGATAACCAATCATAAGACAGAATTCTCAGACTCTTTTGGGTAAGAACGCCCTGTGTAAATGCTTTATATTGAGACTGTGATGGACTAGTGGGCGGATCTGATGAAGCCGAGCATGTCGGCGAAATGCGTCATCACGCTCTGACGTCATTACGTCCAACGGCAGTAAACCCCGCCTCCCGAAACAAGTGTGAGTGGAAGTAGCCCTTAGAGCTTCTGGAGCCTGAAAAGGACCGACGAAATTGTTTGGGACTATACCACATTTGCGAGGAAGAGGTACAGAAAGAGGACTTATAGCCAGACAACTGCTTTTTAATGTTTGGAGTGTCAAATAAAGGATTTTTACTGCCATCACAGCCTCAAGCCTCTATATACTGAGATGCCAACATAGTTCAGAGCAGACTTAATTGCTCTACTCTTGTGAGTGTTTTTGATCTATATTTTTAATATTTATGTTTTATGCATATTGCCCTATGAGTTTTTGTTCTGTTTTTTCTTTTTGAGTATTTCACTGAAGTTCTAATAGAAGCAATTTCAAAACTTTTAAAAGTGAGGTAACCTTCTAAATAATGCCATCCTTATTTTGCACATATGTGTTTAAGCACAGTGCACTTTATACAATTTTGAAAATTAATATTTATGTGAAAGTTATTCACTTGTATTGTTTGATGGTCTTAAAGGCACAGCGCACTTTATTTATGTGTTTTGTTTTTTAAAATGTATTCCGCCCGATGACATGGGTGATACCCAAATAGGCGGGAAGTACATGACGTCATGTGGAACGCATAATGGATGGAAGTATCTGGCTATTACCACTTCTGGTTCCGGTAATGCTGGCGTGCTAATTTTTATCAAGCCGTTATGATGGAGACTACAAACACATATGGAGACATCAGCAGTCCACCAATGGAGCTCCGGTATGGTGAAGGATGGCCTCTTATCCACCAATGACTTTTAGGGACTAACCCTATTTAAAGAAACTCTTGGGGTGGGGATATTAGGATTTGTTATTATTGTTTGTAATTGCAATTTGTTCTTTTGTATTATTGTGGTCCCTGAGGGAGTTCCGCTCAAGAACGAAACGCGTTGGACCGTTTCTTTTATCCTTACATTTATATTAACCTTTATGGTGAATGTTTTTCAACTTTTTATAAATAAATAATCCTTTTTATACCTTCACCTTCCTGGAGTCCTGTTCCATCAACCGGTGGCTGTGGAGTGCAGAGTGGGATTAGTAGCCACCCAGCTACTTCAGGGGAGGCACCCTATGAGCGCTATGTCTGTCAACATTCTGTGAGTCCATTTCATGTGTCGGAGTGTTTACTGTATTGCACTATTTTTTGTTTATTTCCCTCTGTTCTAGATTCATTCAGCCGTATCCCCAATCTGCTGTTGGCTGTATATAAAGTTTACATTATATTTTTCTTTTAATGCATACCGCAATGTAATGTGATGTGCAGGTCTATGATAGATTGCTATAGCCTGCTTCCATCTAGTTTGTCATTAATGGACATCTTACTGCTCTTATCACTGCTTTAAATAAACACATTTTTCCAATTTAAGACCATAGGGAAATAATGAGTAATAGGATTAAAATCAAGGTTAGTATTTGATAAATACCCTTGGGAGGCCTTTCTACAAATAAATACTTTTGTGTAGCAGGTTTTGTAATTGATGGCCACTATTAAACTTTATGTCCCATCATACCAGTCACATCATTTGAGCTTTAAATAGGAACTTTATGTCAAATTCAATCTAAAACTGCTGCAACTGATTGAAATGCTAGACTTATGAGATACTTACAAAATTGTTAAATTCAAATGAAATTAATTTGAAGTGTGTCTGTTTAGCTGCATTATTTGTGTAAAACATATAGAAGGAAACTGCTATTATATTTACTTTTGTTGTTTTTCCTCTTATATGTTGATAAATAAACAATACATAATCTAGTGTTATATATATATATTTATATATATATATATATATATATATATATATATACATGCAGGGTTTCAAAAACAGAACTCTGTATAAATAGTTTGTATATGTGCTGCACATGCTCTACTGTAATATAATCTGTAAAATGTTAAAGGAACATTACAGGGTCGAGAATGAAAACATGTATTCCTAACCCTATAGTGTTAAAAATACCATCTAGCCCCCCTTGTGCCATCTTGTCCCCCTAAATATAGTAACATCTTACCTTAACTCCAGTCTGCTGCTGCTGGCTCTGCCTCTTTGGTTGACATAATCAGAAGTGATCTCAGCCAATCACAGTGCTTTCCCATAGAATAGTATTGGATTGGCTGAGCTTGTCAAGGAGGCAGGTCAGGGTCAGAGCCAGCACAAGCCAAACACAAAACCCTGGCCAATATGCATATCTTCATCGAGATGCATTGAATCAATGCATTTCTATGGGGAAAGTTCAGAGTCTCCATGCAGAGGGTGGAGTCACTGAATGTTACAACATTTCCCCAGAAAGCACCTCTTGTAGCTATATAAGGTGTAGCCAGTAAAGTTATCCCTAGGCTGTAAAGTAAACACTGCCTTTCCTCAGGAAAAAACAGTGTTTACTGCAAAAATACATAGACACAAAAGGAAATGAGATTCGGCTGTACGTAATCTAAAACAGGAACAGAAAAAAATACGTAGTGTAATACAGCAAAACAAGTTATAATGCGCTGATGTAATAATACACTCACAAGATCCAAATGAATAATGCGCCAAAAAGGTGCCTGCCCCAATGAACTTGGGCGGCTGAACGTCTCCACTCTCCACTGGAACTCCAAGCGGACCAAAATATGGAATGAGACTCCAATATAGGTAGGGTAAAATAAATATGCAGATTTATTGTAGAAAAAAGGCCATTTACATTAGCCACATTAAATAAGATAAAACAAAAATGAGGTCCTACGCGTTTCATTCCTATACAAAGGAACTTCCTCAGGGACCAGAAACAAATAATACAACACTTAAAAGCAATCAATACAGAAATGCATACAATATTCTCCCCCCCAATGAGTCTCTATAAATAAGGTTGAACCCTTGGTTCATAGGTGGATCCAGTGGGAGTTACCCATAATTCCATGATCACATTCAGTTGTGGAGTATCCAGCGATCCTATTCAGGTGTGGAGTGGGTGTTCCATCGGTCGTTCTTGGCGCAAAACGGTGGAACCGGAAACCGGAAGTAAAAGTCAGTTTGCACTTCCGCGTTCCACTGACCTGTGCGTTCCAGCTCAGAAATGAAAAACAATTATCCATATTGCCACCTAGAGGTCGCCCAATATATAATAATCCTGATGCCAATCAGAAGTTTAGCGAGAACATATTATGGCAAACGATCATCTAACAGAAAAAAATTAATTTCAGATATAAATAGTCAGACTTATGAAACACAAAACACATGAACTATATTATGTGATACTTCCCTATCACAATATAGCTGTGTTTAAATACATGAAAATCTCATTTAACCCCTTATTATTACAGTATTTTATTATAAAAATAAATATACTCCATATATATTACCAATGTGACAGAC